ACTAAGTTATTTGTATTTTTGGGATTCAATTAATAATAATACATTTTAAAACGATGGAATGCACTTCTCATTTCCTCTTTAGCACTTGAATCTTAGCTTTACTTTTTCTCATGCGCTTGGCTATCATTTCATGTTCTTTTATTTTACCTCGTTTGCTAGAAAGCTTTTATCTCATTTGATCATCTCAACCTTTTCTAGTTGCTTTATGATTGTGTGACTAGGGCACTATCTGATGCTATGTCCAAAGTTGCTACCTACCTTAGTGGCAATAGATTTTAACTCATTGCATTTTCCTAACTCCCACATCGCACACCAATGTCATGTCTGCAATCAAAATGTTTGGCAACACAAAAGCATCATCTAATGGGGGGTTGGTGAAAATTTCTGCACCTGCGGTCAACCTTTGTTGGGTAATCAAGCATTCTCTTGTCTCAAACACAAACCCTTAACTAGGAACAAGATAAGAGAAAAGGCAAAAGGGAAATAATTAAAATAGCGACAAAGTTACCTTCATTTTCCAAAGATATTTAAAAGTTGATGCTCATCCGAGACTTGACAATAAAGCACAGATCATCATGGGTAGAAAACAGTAAGAAAGAAAAGAAAAGGAAAGCATTTCATGTGGTTGGAATGTCAAACAATGAGATTTCTTTTACTGAGATTTGATCAGAATATTTATACATCGAAATTATGTTTAAAATCGGAAATGATTTAATTTTTCAAAATAATGAATTTTTTTTTATTTTTATAAATCCTATCAAATTCATTTTGTCTTGAAAGCTATGAAAATCAATTTCTTAGGAGACATTCTCTTTTGGTAGTTCTTATATCTGAAAAAAAAAAAGTTTTAAATTGTTGATTGGGAATGAAAAATATTCTTTAGATACAAACAACAACAACTGAAAGTCTTAATCACACTATCCTTATATATAATTAATAAGATTTAGTAGGAATTGAATTAATTTAAAATGTAATTATATAAATAGACTTTTGTACTTTTTATTAATTACTTTATTTAATAAAATAAATTCAAATAGATCCCATTTATAATGGTTTCAAAATATAAAATTTGATTCCTAAGTTTATTCAAATACTAATTTTATAATGAGTTTCCAATATAGAATTTGATTTATAATAAAATCAATTCTAGAGCTTAAAGATTCCAAATATAATGTTTCTCTTTTGACTTGAAAAGTTTAGGGTTTTATAAAGATTGTTGGAAGGTCTCTGAAAGAACAAGTGTGATTGTTCCCTTCTCCACCCAATTTCGCTCTCAATGTCTTCCCACCATCGTTTGCCTCCTACTCTTTCCATCGCACGAATGGATTGCACATATCGTGGCAGACATCAACATGAAGACAAGTAGCCGCAACGAAAATTTGGTTGCATAATTAAATTAAAGAGATTCGAATACAAGTCAACACACTTTCACTTTATTGGATTCGAAGGATTTGCACCTTCTATACATTTCCATACTCCTTTAATTATATAATCCCCATCGAAAAAGGTCATAAGAGAAAACACGAGGGCTTGGAAAAAAATTAACAAAATATATAACTTTGATTATGATATTAGTTGTTATGATCTTTTGTCGTTTTTTATTTTCTCAAATCTGCTTTATTGTTTTGTCATATCTATTTAAATCTTTTGAGTAACTGAGGAATATTCTGCAAACATTCCGCAAATGTAAGTCACGGAGACTTAAGTTTTGCATACTAAGGCCATTGAATGTTAGATTCAAATTTTACTATTAGGATTTTCTAAATTAGGACATGCAGTCTCATATAAGAACATGGATTCAAATAGTGAATTAATGTATCCGTAACATTTTGTGATCCTATCCTAATTTTCTAATTGCAGTTTGCATGTTCGTCATCAAATTTTAACAACCATATAACTGCAATTGCAATGCAGCTATGATCGTAACATAAAACCTTTATACTTTACAGATGAATGCAAAAGAATGCAACTATTAAATACTTAATCCTTTTCCTGATTCCTTTTTAACGTTCATGAAAAAATAATTTGAAATGAAAAGTTTAGTGAAAAGCTTAGGCCCAATATGAGGGCAAACTGTTTGTCTACATTAGTTGGGTTGGGAGTATCAATAAAAAAATGTTTTGTTGGGATATATGTACCAATGTTTTTGTGGGAAAAGAACAAAAAGTGGGGCTGGCTTTAGTGGACATTTGATTTGGGCTTCAAATGGGTTAAGCGTATAAGTTGGAAGGTCAATGGCCTTATAATGTAAAATTGTATACTAAATTTCAGGTAGGCTAAAACCAAGCTATATTTCATAAAGGTAGTGTCAAAGACACAAAAGAAAAATGAAAAAAGAAAACCATTGACCTTGCAATCTACTGGCATCCATTTTTATTTGGAAGCAACCATATGTTTGATTCAAATTTTAGGATTTTAATTCTCTAAAGTGAGAAAATTTGACAAGAAAACGAAGGTATAATTATCATTGATTTAAAGTGAATTAAACAAAATTAGGATATGTAATCTCATATAAGAACATGGATTTAAATAGTGAATTACATCTCATAATGTATATATCCGTAACATTTTTGTGATCGCATACATTTCTAATTGCATTTTGCATCGTTCAACATCAACTTGGAAACAGCCATATAACTACAATTTCAATGCAGCTATAATCATAATTTAAAACCTTTAAAGCAGATGAATGTAAGAAAATAAAATTATAATTAATAAAGGCTTATTTGAAAGAGCTTATAAATAACTCATGACTTATTTAAAATTATAATTGGCTTAGCTTATCAAAATAAGCTATTTTTTGCTTATTCTTTTAAGTTCATTAATAAATATTTTATGTAAGTCATCACTTTTAACATAGTTTATTAATTAAGTGCTTGAATAAGCAATTATTTAAGCGGAAGAATTTTCTTACGTGTAAGTATAAAAACTCTTATATTCAATCTAAACTTTTCATTTGACTTACATTTAACGGTCAGTAAAATAATCAATTTATAATTTATTAGATATAAGTTCGTTCAGATTTAGTGTAAAAATTTTTAGATTTACACCAATATAAAAAGATTATGTCATATTATTTAAATATATTTTTAAATTTTTTATAATTTTTCTTGTCATGTTTTGTTAGCGACCCAATATGAGGAAAAAGTAAAAGTCCACATTAAATTGGGTTGGGTCTTTTGTTGTGCACCTTTGAATTATTATTGAAAAATAGAATCAAAACTTTTTCTCATACATATATAAATTCCAAAATTTTAAAAGTATTTTTTGAATTAAAATAAAAAAAGGGAGGGCGCAAAAAGAATTTTCAATAAGATAATCTCTATTTTTGATTTTTTTGGTCTGAGATAATCATTATTTTGATGCATATTTGATTAAAGCATACCTCCTGCAGTTACCCTTGTTATTTTGGTCCCATCAACCCAAACACTTGTCAGGTAATTTAATTAGGTAAGTTAATAACTTTCCCAATAATTGAAGTAATTTAAATTGCATTTGTTTCCCCTAAAGCAAGGATATATTGAATTTGGTTAGAAGATTTGTTAATAGTTACTCTTACGTCAATATTAGATTTGGTCTCTGACTAAAGAAATTACTAAGACAATGTTTGAATTGATAAAAACAACATGAAAAGAAGTAAAATGGAATGATATAATATTGTTACAAATTCTCTAAAATTTAAATATATTTCAAATTTAAGTAAATTGGTTTACTAATTTATTGATTATCATATAATATTTAATAGATTTTTGTAATATTTAGAAGATTAAACATCAAATTTTAGGAAAATGAATATCTAATCTTACCATATAGTAAACTCATGGTGTAGAAAGAAAATAATATTATCACCAAGGGAATTTTTTGAGGAGTCTGTCTTCAAGTTTTCACTATTAATGCCTGAATATATAAGCTCGTTTCAAATAATTATTATTTAAATTAACTAATTTTGGAGTATAATTACAAAATGAATTGAATAATTAATCTTTCAAAAAAAGCTAAAGCTAACTTCAAATGTTGAAGTATAATTATTAATGCCTTCAGAAGCTAGTCTTGCTTTCTAAATGGAGGTTAAGTATATATAATTTCACCATATGCTTCCATTAATTTACATGAACGAATGTTAGGAATACAATTTTTAACACAAAGACAATGACAATTAGTTTTGATCCATTCTTACAATTATATTATATTATATGATTTAGTTTTACACTCTTTTCTACTTATCCCTATAAATAATTTTTCTTCCTTTCTTTCTTACTTATTTTTATCCATCTAAACAACATATTATTTCTACTTAATTTCTTTTCTTTTTCTATCATTCCTTTTTCCTTTCCTCTACTTTATTCATTTATATTTCACTCCTTTCATCCAATTTGCTCAGGTGAACTAAAAATAGTTTCAACTTTATAAAAAAGAGTATTAAAACGAGAGTCAACAAATGTTACTGCCATTCTTCTTTATCATAAACGGTCACTTTGTACAACCTTATAAGTGCTAAAATTCATCTTCAATAATGTTTTAATACAATTAATTATGCTCTTCCCTGTCATACACATCTCTTAAACCAAGTCACTTCAACACCATAAACGTGGATAGCGAGGATCTATTATATGATGCCATAGACTTTTGTTGACAGACACATTTCATTGTGCAAGTGGTTCCATCTTTCATTTACTTAGCTATAATAATTTCTTCAACAAGTTTGGCGAACTTGCTTTCTAAGTGAAGAGTAAAAGGAATGATAAAGAAGCAAAATGATGCTCTAAAGAAAAGAAACAAAATAAGACAAGTGAACCTTCAATTTCACAACAATTTAGACATGTGTCACTACAATGTACAATTTCATATATTCTTTCAATTTACTCACAAGTAAGTCACCAAACAATTTGTCCCAGGTTCACTCTACAAGTACTCTTCCTATAGCATCATATATATAACCCTCATGACTATATGTTAAGCATTACAATCACTTGTTACTTCAACTAATCAAATTCACTTCCCAAAAAGCCTAAGGTTGATTACCTCATAGTCACTTACATTGAAATGGAGGTGAATGATGAGGATGTAAGAGTAGGTGCCAACAAGTATGAAGAGAAGCAACCAATAGGAACAAGTGCACCAACACAAGATACCAAAGACTATAGAGAAGCACCAGCAGCTTCACTGTTTGAGGCTGGAGAGTTAACATCATGGTCTTTCTACAGAGCAGGCATAGCAGAATTTGTGGCCACATTCTTGTTTCTCTATGTCACAGTTTTGACTGTGATGGGTGTTGCAAAATCTCCCAGCAAATGCTCCACAGTTGGTGTCCAAGGCATTGCTTGGTCTTTTGGTGGAATGATTTTTGCCCTTGTCTATTGCACGGCTGGTATTTCTGGTAAGAATAACGCATCATAGCCACATTTTTTCAAAATTAATTTTTGACAGAATTATTCTCTACAATAAAAATAGGGTAGTATATATTAACAAAAAAGAATGCTTTAATAACTTACACACAACTTATAAAATGACATTTAATTATTAATATAAATACTACGAATCTATTGTAACAACACGATATATCTTATTAAAAGACAGTATATATCTAGATAAAAAAAAAGAAGACAGTATATATCAACATTTTTTTCACTAAAGAAACTATTTATTAACATGCCTTTGAAGCTAATAATTGAATCAAATTGGCATGCTTATCCACTATAGTCTAATTGTTTGAGTGGATTTTGAAATGCAGGGGGTCACATAAACCCAGCAGTGACATTTGGGCTGTTCTTGGCACGCAAGTTATCTCTAACAAGGACACTGTTTTACATTATTATGCAGTGTTTGGGAGCAATATGTGGTGCAGCTGTAGTCAAGCGATTCCAATCAAGCCAATATGAGAGACTTGGCGGTGCTGCCAACATTCTCAATAAAGGATACTCCAAAGGCGATGGCCTTGGAGCAGAGATTGTTGGCACATTTATTCTTGTTTATACTGTTTTCTCTGCCACTGATGCCAAGCGAAATGCCAGAGACTCACACGTTCCTGTAAGTACACCCTTTCCTAATTTGCATCTTTCTATTTAATTGTATCAATATTGTAATCAATTAAAGGTTTTTAAACTTTGAAATAAAAATTGTATTACTTTAATCATACACATTTGACTGTGTTAGATTTTGGCACCACTACCCATTGGATTTGCGGTCTTTCTAGTGCATTTAGCTACAATTCCTATCACAGGGACTGGCATCAACCCTGCTAGAAGCTTAGGTGCAGCCCTTGTATACAACAAGGACCAAGCTTGGGATAGCCACGTGAGAATTCAACCTTAATTTTACTATGAATTGATCCTTTATAAAACTAGAAAATAAGTCAAACAAATTAAGCAATTAGTGAAGTTATGTAAATCATATTTTATTTTGGTGCAGTGGATCTTCTGGGTAGGGCCTTTTATTGGGGCAGCACTTGCAGCGTTGTACCATCAGATAGTGATCAGGGCCATTCCTTTCAAGTCAAAATGATGCAAAATTGGAGCAAAGCGTGAAGAGTAGTGTCTGGTTTTGCTGAAAACTGGGGATTACTCACAACAAATATACTCCTATTTCTGCCACTAAATTTTCTACCTGTCTTATTAATTTATATACTTCTTCAGTTCAAAACTTATTGAACATGCAATGGAACTTATGGAAAAGGTGGCTGGTATGGTTTATTTCCTTTCAACCCATATTACAATATCTTCCCCTTCACATATCAAATGCTGTTGGGATAAACTTGCTGGTGTGTAAGTGCTCTGTATAATAAGTTTATGGTAATGAATTGCTATCTATCTATTTTCGTTGTTTATGATGCGGATTTACCATTCCTCTGTCCCCAATCATTAAGATTGTATCAAAGATTGGAAATAAAAATAAAAAGCATTAAGTTGTATTCATTTAGATAATCGTTTTAAAAAAATGTTTAACGACTTCATTTGTAAGTAAACTAGTCAATCAAGTTATCACTTCTTTTCTTTCTGTGTTTTTATATTTATTTATTTCTGTCGAATAAATTAGTTATATCTAATTATTAATAAATCGGTAAACCAAATAAACATTCACAAGGCTATTGTCTAAGAAGGTACAGTTTGAATAAGTTTATTAATAAATACTTGTAGAAGAAAATTAATATAAAAGTTTATAAAATTTATTATAGTTCGACAGGAGTTTTTTTCTCCGACATATACCTTAATACAATGGAGATTTCAAATCTTCTTTGTTCTTATAAAAATATAGATTAATTGCTTTTAGTTTTATGGAAAATACTTCACACGAAAAGATATTTGCTTCAGACAAATTTGCATAGCTTAATATACATAAGATTAGAAGGTGAAAGAAGACCACCATTATATAAATTAATAGATAGTTTAAATTAATGATTATAAATATTTCAATAAAAATATTTTAAAAAAATAGATTTACTTAAAAATATTCACATTATACAAAATTTAAGATAGTGTAGTTGTGTCTATACAATTTAGGTAATGTAAATTACACAAGTTAGCATTGTAGAGTTTTATGCATGTAAAAAATATGATTGATTTAAAATTAAATATTCAGTTACTATTAAAAATAAGGTAGCGTAATTTTATTTTTAAAAATAATTTAAATTATACAAGACTAAATATAATGAACTTACATATAAATTCTTATAATTCTTATAACTCAATCATAGAAAGAAACCATATATTGACCTTTGAGATATCATTATGTAAATTTTATTTATGTATAAAAAAGGTAATTTGATTTTAAAATAAAATAAAATAAACCTCCAAATTCATATATGTATAAAAATTAAGGTAGTTGAAATATAAACAATAAAACAATAAATTTGATTGGAGGTATTTGTGAATGAAACTCTAAATTGATCATAATGTAAAAAATTATTATTATTATTTTGTTTTTTATCATATAGTTTTACATTTTTTTTCACTTTATTTATCATTTTTATTTTATTCTTATTTAGAAGGTTGCTTGCAGAGAAAATAAATTCAAAAGAAAAGTATGTTCTAAATCTAAGCGACCTACGTGAAATCCCTTTACTATATGGAATAATTACAAGTAAAATACTCAACAACAAAACTACTTCTGGGCCCATTCTTGGACCATGGCCATTTTAAAAACGTGGGCTGGAAGAGAGGTTAAAAAAAAAAACAGATAGAGCAACCTAAAATTTAAGAATAATCAGCCGAAACTATAATTGACATGGATCCAAGGATTGTATAGGGATGGCAAAATTGTATGCTTATCGGTCTAATCCTTCAATTTCAGCATGACAAGTTGAGGTTATAACAAAAATGATCATTAAATATTTTTCATAATATAACAAAAATTTTAAAAATTATTTCTTTACATCTTTTAATTTTACATACATATATTTAATAAATATTTAAAATTAAATTTTAATATATTTGTTTATCTTAAAATTGAGTCACAATTATTTTTTATTTTATTAATTTTTTTATCTTTAAGTAGGTCAAAACAAAATGAGTTGACATTGTCAACTTGTTTAAAAATCAAGACGGGATAAACCCAACACGTTTTTTTTTTATGGGCTTATACATATTAGCTCATTTTGTCATTCTGGAGCATGGATGTTCAATTTCCATCACTGGGTTCTAATGTTGAGCTTTATATTTATTCTATTTTATTTTCTCACACAAAATAGATCACTCAATTTTGAAAGGGTTGATTGAAACTTGGGAGACAGTTGTAATTCCAAATGCCTTTGTTATTAAAGTTGAATGTTATGAAAGATGATCGACCCAAAATAAGAGAGTAAAAGTAAGACTTAATTTGGATTTTTTAATATTTATTTATAATAGATAAAAATAAGAAAGAAAATAAAGTATTTTTTATACATTAAAATTAACTTATATATTTTTAAAATATTTTAAATAACTTCTAAAAAAAAATGAAGAGTATAAAGTAATTTTAACTTACAAATTTTTTTAAACCTAGCTTGTGTGAGTAAGCTAATGTAAAAGCATTTGTAGAAGAAATAACAAATATATTTTTAGAAAGTTTGTCAACTAACTTATAAAAAACACAAGATGCATAAATGAGAATAATTTCAATTTTTATTATCTTATTTTCTTCTTCTACAAGTTCTTTTACAAAAATTACCTAAATTAAATCTTATTTGTTTTATCTCTTTATTTTCTTTTCTATAAATAATTTTACTTGCAAATTTTTCTTTTAAGAAATTTTGTTATGATTTTATCTTTAATTATTTACAAAAATAATCCTATGGATCTTATAGAAAATTGAACGAATTTTTTAATGCAAGTGAATTATCTTCATTTGATTGTCATAATTTAATAATCTAGGCCAAGTAAAATTTAATAATCCAGGCTTAGCATGGACTTGGCTGAATTTTTTTATTTCTTTCTTTTTAAGAAAATAAGTCAAATAAATTATAATAAAATAAATAAATAAATTATAGGAGTAAAACTATGCATAAAAGGAAAGGTAAAAAAAAAATGGTGTTGACAATCTTGTCACTTTGTCAATGTACATCAGAGTGCAGTGGCTGTAAATCTATCGTCAAAATGATCAGTATAGTATTTGCTTGAGGTTAATAGAGTTTTAGATATTTGCAGAGAAAACATGGTGAGAACAATCATTGCAAGCATATTTATACACAATCAAGTGAAGAGCACCATCACGTTAAACTGGCAAGACTTTCACATCATTGAATCATTCGCAATCATGCAGAAACATGCACAAAGGCGCCATAAAATTGACCAGCATATCAAAATTGCAAAACGATGATGAAAGAGCAAATACATGAAAATTAAGTCATAAAACTGGAATGTAAATAAAGTACATTAAAATCATAAAATAAACTATATGAGAATCTTTTCTTTCATAAAATTTTAGATATTGTGATCACTGACCACGATTAATCTAAAGAACTTTTATTTATAGCTTTACAAATATAACTCCCTAGAGACTAAGTGGCTACTATTTTTAACTTTGCCCATTATATGAGTCCATTTTATCAATAAATGTACCCGCGTTTAATAATGGTTATGTTGGGATACCTTTCTTTTAAATTTAAGATTTTATTAAGTGAGGTTTTTTATTTTAAAAGATTTACTTGTTATATTTAAAAGAGATTTTCAAATTAAGATCTGGAAGGTGATTCCAAAGTTCTCTTTTCTTCTCAACAGTTACGTCTTCTTCTTTGATTTTTTTTTCATTTTTTAAAAAATAAAATATAAAATAACTCCTATTTTAGTCTAAAAATAATTAAAGTTTTATTCTTCTTAATAATCATATGTTTTCTAAGTACATTAAGTGATTATTCAATGTTTATCGATAAAAAAAGGACTCTTTTGTTCATTGAACAAGGTAATATAGAATATATTTTTTAAATCATATGTATTATTTATCTGAGATAATTATGTTGAAATTGTGTAAGATAATTGTATGCAATAATTTTTTTTATTTAATATAGTTGCATTAGTGGAATTCGAACTCGATTCATGTGTTTAGCGATGATTGATGATATAAAATCTATTATATTGTTAGATTTGTAACTGTGTAATTGTTCTAATCAATAATCAATGATTAAATATTAGAGTTTGATTTGAGTTTTGTGATGTGAGTAAAAATTAATTTAGGATGTGTTTGAATAACTGTTTATTGAAACACTTATTTAGTAATTTTTTAAAATAATAAATTTAACAATGAAATTTATTGATATAAATTTAAAATAGTTTAATCTGATACGTTATACCAAATAACTTATTAAAATGAAGTAAAAAAATAATATTCATAAATTGTTAATAATCTTTTTTAAATAGGATTGGTGGTTAGTACATTACATCTTAAACATTTGTTCAGGTTTGTATATTGATTAAAAAATAATAAAAAACTTGTTTTGATTGTCAAAATAGTAAGGAAGAGCATGTTTTTAGAGTTTGTTAATAATCATAACTAATCAATTAAAGAATTAGAGAACGAATTTCAGTATCAATGATCAATTTTAAGAATCAATACTGATATCAAAATTTGGCTTTAAGGTTAGTCATCATTGAATTTTATTGATTTTTTTATGTTTTAATTTAATTTAATTTTAGTTTCAAAAACCCTTTCTCTAATTATTTTAATAAAGGAGTAAGTTTTATCATTTCTTTTGAATTCGACCTTGCTAATCACTTTTTATGCAAATAATTTGTATTGAAAGAGCAAGAGTGAGTTTGTTTGTTATGACTTCCATCATCATCGAAAATAATTTATATAGCTTCTCAAATTATCACAATTGAATCAGAGAAAATTTGAGTTTAATTATGGCTTAAATTCATATAAAATATTCAGATATATAATATCTTTTTATCTTTTAATCCTTATATTATTATTAATCAAATATTTAACTAGAAGTATAATTCAAAATTATTTTAGATGAATAATTTGTCAAATCACAACAAATATGGAAATGATAATTTTTCAAAATATTTACTAAATACTTTCCCAAATCACCGACTAATTAGATTCTGCCTAGTGGGAATATATATGTTCATGACTATATATGGCCTTTATAGATTCAACTTGGTATGGGTTATTTCGCAGGGATGTGCTAGTTTAGTGACTATTGTGGCCCTCATTAAAATTTGTTCTTGGTATGGGTAACTTGTAAAGTAGAGAGGGATCTTTTTCTTTTTCAAATTGGTGTTTTTGTCCAATACATTGTATGAAGCAATATAGCCACTAGACTATGGGTT